CGTCACATTTCATCAAAGAATTGTACATCACAATCGTCACATTTCAAAGAATTGTACATCACAATCGTCACATTTCATCAAAGAATTGTACATCACAATCGTCACATTACAAAGAATTGTACATCACTATCGTCACATTTCAAAGAATTGTACATCACAATCGTCACATTTCAAAGAATTGTACATCACTATCGTCACATTTCAAAGAATTGTACATCACAATCGTCACATTTCAAAGAATTTAACATCACAATCGTCACATTTCAAAGAATTGTACATCACAATCGTCACATTTCATCAAAGAATTGTACATCACAATCGTCACATTTCAAAGAATTGTACATCACCATCGTCACATTTCAAAGAATTGTACATCACAATCGTCACATTTCATCAAAGAATTGTACATCACAATCGTCACATTTCAAAGAATTGTACATCACAATCGTCACATTTCATCAAAGAATTGTACATCACAATCGTCACATTTCATCAAAGAATTGTACATCACAATCGTCACATTTCAAAGAATTGTTCATCACAATCGTCACATTTCAAAGAATTGTACATCACAATCGTCACATTTCATCAAAGAATTGTACATCACAATCGTCACATTTCAAAGAATTGTACATCACCATCGTCACATTTCAAAGAATTGTACATCACAATCGTCACATTTCATCAAAGAATTGTACATCACAATCGTCACATTTCAAAAGAATTGTACATCACAATCGTCACATTTCATCAAAGAATTGTACATCACAATCGTCACATTACAAAGAATTGTACATCACTATCGTCACATTTCAAAGAATTGTACATCACAATCGTCACATTTCAAAGAATTGTACATCACTATCGTCACATTTCAAAGAATTGTACATCACAATCGTCACATTTCAAAGAATTTAACATCACAATCGTCACATTTCAAAGAATTGTACATCACAATCGTCACATTTCAAAGAATTGTACATCACTATCGTCACATTTCAAAGAATTGTACATCACAATCGTCACATTTCAATGAATTGTACATCACAATCGTCACATTTCAAAAATTGTATATCACAATCGTCACATTTCAAAGAATTGTACATCACAATCGTCACATTTCAAAGAATTCGGAAAACGTTAGCACGAGCTAATACATTACCAAGAAAAACGCATAGGTAACAATTTTAAAATGTTGCTTGAGATATATTTAATGTAGAGAAATATTCTTATATACGTCCCGAGCAAAGCTACAAAAGTTAAACACGGGTGAGAAGATTTATAAACACTAAATACACCCAGTTACATATATGAAACAAAACCAAAAAACGCATAAACGGATATATGCATAAATCCGCATACACTATTTTCAAAAAGATATACACACACACGCACCCCCCACAGTCACTAAACAAACGCATATTAAACACACCTCGTTACATAAAAAAATGTACGCACACACACTAATCACAAATATTAAAGGCATCTGGTCAAATACAAAAAAAAAAAATAGTCCACACACACACACACACACACACACACACACACACACACACACACACACAAACTAGACTAACACACATTAAATGCACCTAGTTAGATCCATAAAATCTACACACGTACTAAAAGCACACAAATATTAAACACACCTGGTAAAAAAAAATGTACAAACACAAACTCAGTAAACAAACACATATTAAACAAAACTAGTTACATCCCAAAAAAAGTACACAGACGCACTAAACGCACACACACATATTAAACACATATAGTTACATCCAAAAATAAAACAAAATAGTAAACACACATACACACACTAAATATACTCACATATTAAACACACTTGGTCACATACTAAAAAAAATAAAAACGAATGAACGTATTTAGACATGAATCCGCACACAATATTTTTCAAAAAAGCACACACGCACACACGAACGAGTGCACACAGAAGCCAACATATACGCTTGCGTACAAAGCCGTCTTTCTGTAACTATTTACTGATAAATCCTGGCATAAAATTACATATTCAAGTTAGCTTCCTGAAAGCCAAATTAAATTGCAGCAAATTGATTAATCTTCTAATTGAGTTTTCCGTGCAAAGTGCAGACCACAATTAGTTACGTTAAATTAATTTGAAGCTAATGAAAAATGATTAGATATTGATGCCTCTCAACCCGCATAGAACTTTCGATGACGACGAATTGAATCTTGTCCCCTCAGATGGGCGTCTCAAAAATCGCTAAAGCCACACACGCATACATACACATGCACAAGGTCATTACTACCGTCTTGCCTTGCTAAGAAAATTAAATAACGCTATATATATATATATATATATATATATATATATATATATATATATATATATATATATATATATATAGTCATCCACAGAGACTGTTTCGCTGTATCACAGCTCATCAGTGTGTCTAGACGTCCCGTGCCTCTAGCTAGGATCGAAACACGGCTGAATTGGAGTTAATTGATTCTACCCGTAAGTTGTTAAAGGTAAATTTAAGAGTATTTTTTTAGATAAACACCCAGTGACTTAGAGAAATCGATTCGCATTACTGAATAGTCTTGCATCATTAGCCGTAATAGTCACTGTTTACAAACTCACACTTCCTCCTCAGAGAACTCAACCGAAAATAAATTTTCAGGGTTTTATATATATATATATATATATATATATATATATATATATATATATATCTGTTTGAATACAAGTATATGATTGGTATATACGGAATAAATTCCAGTAACCAAAAAATGCTGTTCTTAAAAGAGTGCTCAATACAGAGTAGATTAATTATAATTATTTATTCGAAAATCATAACATAAAATATGTTATAAAATCACTACAAAAATAGCCATTTTGTTTCAACACTTCTGGAGTTTTATCAAGTGATGGTGTTGAAATTAGAGCCATCGCTTTCAACACCGTCACTAGTTCAGACACCAGAAGTGTTGAAACAAAATGGCTATTTTTGTAGTGATTTTATAACATATTTATGTTATAATTTTCGAATAAATAATTATATATATATATATATATATATATATATATATATATTTTATATGGGCGGCTACCATGAATTTAGGATTTCCCTATTTTATCTATGAATATTTTCGATAGATAACTGCTAAGCTACAAGACTAAGTGAGTCATCAAGTAGTCATGAATTGTTATAGTTGAGTCTGTTTTCCTCGTTAAGCAAAAACTAATGATATTGTTAATATCAGCTGTTTCCCTATAAGGAAATATTGGGCATTCATTGACCTAATGGTCAATTTCGGTTGAAATTTATAAAATATTTCTCTTAAAAGAATTTTTCAGGAAAATAGGTTTCTCAAGCTTCCATCTTTCCAGTTATTGATGGAGGTTTCTTTCCTTGTCGTGTGGAATATCAATATCTCTAATATGTAATTGTTTTTCACTTGGGTTACATGTGCTATTCATTTTAGTTGTTGCTGCTGTAGTAGTTCTCAACTGATGTGTTTTCTGTTATCTGGTACAGTTTGTTTGTGATTCTATAGCGCCAGTTCTCGTCATTCGATGAAGGCCAGTCCTCTTTTAAGACCTACAGGCTTCATTCACTCTAAGCCAGTTTTAATCATTTATTTGAGAAAACGGTTGCATATAGCTGACAGTTTAGATATTTCCTAAAAACTTTGCATAGCATGCATGGGAAACTCTTGATCTGACTAGTGTATTTAAGAAGATGAGTCGAGATTTTAAGGTTAATGTTTTCGCTTTGCAGCAACTTGCGATGTGGAGCGAAACTATATCTAGGGTTGCCTGTTCTATGTTCAATTTCATTTTCTCCCATATTTCTGTTTTTAGATTGGCGGTTGGCAAAATAATATTGAAACAATCTTGTCTGAAATTCTGTACAGTTTGTCTAATATTTTTCAAATTTATTAGTTACTAGTTTATAAGCAGCAGACCCCGTGGGCATTTAACCTAGCTCTGTCCCAAAAGTAAAGAGACCTTTGGTTTAGCTCAGTAAACAGTAATGATAATTTCGAAGATATAACTGAATTTTTAAATTCACTCCATGTAAGTTCAAAATGTCACTTTAACTCTGTTTCGGCTCTAGGTCCAATTCCCGCCAAAGAATCGATTTAGTCCAAAAATCCGATTTTGGCCGAAATTCAATTCAGGTCGAAAACTGAGTTCTTCAAATCACACATTTTTCGGAACATCAAAACGTCACGTCAAGAAATTCTGGCTCCTTGGGATTTTCAGGAAATAAAACAGATTTCCTCAGTTTACAAGTTTTGCAGTAATTTTAAACTGAATTTAAAACATTTCTTTTAATTCACTAAGTTTTTGTGTTACTTTAAACTCAATATAAGTTGAATATTTTTAAAATCACTAATTTATTTTAGTTATTTTAAAATTTGAATTTTTAACTGTCCCAATGTTCCAGCACAAGATTAAAGGGATATTTTCAATTCTGGGATCATCCTGATTCCAAAAAAGGTATAATATGTCTATGAAGAGAAAGTGTGGCCCGAGTTTTACACACACTGACGGACAGACAGAATTTGCAGTTTATTTATTTAAATTTATTTTTTGATTATCCGAACCGTCAGTCTATTTATAACTTCAATATGCACAACGTTACAGCTTGGTTCTTTGCATTTGCAAAGTATGGCACGAGGATCTAGTTGAAGTGCTAGGATAACTCGATCGATTTGGAAAAAAAATCTAGAATAATCCAGAAATTATACTGGAAACAAACGGAAACAAAATGAACTGAGTAACCACGGAAAAATAGAAAGACGCGTAAGATAAGGGTGTGTCTTCCTCTCTGGATTTATCCAACCCCTCTGCAGGTCTGAATGGAGCCAATTCAAACATTTGCAGTGGAATTAGCAACTTTACGACTGTGGGAAAGCGACTCCAGCATGGAAAATTCGTCATGATCCACAAGTCTGCGTAAAAAGGGTTCGGACCCTGTTAAGACTAGATGCTCGGTTAGGGAAATATCACGTTGAAGCAGCAGTTCCCGTACGACCACCTAAGTTAAGCAACGTCGAGCCTGGTCACTTAGATGGGTGACCGCTTGGGAATACCAAGCACTATAAGCGTGGATGTGCCGGTGGTGTAATCGGTAATTTTTCGTAATTGTTAATCGAAGAGGTGAATTCCAATTCGATTTGGGTTCGTTATATTCGCTTACCCGCAAATACCGCTGGGAAACGTATTCACAACTTTTCTCCCTCAGCTATGGGTTAATTAGTGCGACGAGTATAAATAAAACCATTATTATCTACAAAAGAACAAAACAAAAAAAAAAGAAAGCAAAATTCTTACAATCTAAAAATATTTTCTGGCTTTAAATAAACTACAAAGAGTTGATAACCCGTAAAAACGAATCAATCATTCATTATTTGCCCTAGAAATCTCAACTGTCTTTTTTTGCTTCTGACTATGTGTGTTTTTGTTGCCATTTTCCTTAAAACTTCCTCATTACTCACATGTTTAGATAATGATATTCTTATCATCCTTCTGTAAATCAACATTTCTGTTACTTCCGGCCTCTTCTTCATATGTGAGAAAATTGTACAGCATTCACCGTCATATAGGAAGACTCATATTACGTAAGAGTTCTGTACTCAGGGCTTAGAAAATTTGATATTCACAGGACGCATTGAAGGCAAAAGAAACAGCGGAAAACGACATATAACCTATCAGGCGAGCTTGAGAAAATGGCTGACGGAACAAGTTTTAGAAGACATAACAAAGAGACAAAATTTATTAAGATGGTATTTAATTTAGGCATTATCGGGAAGGTTCTAAATGGACACGAAACATTAATCTTTGTAATTATCTTTTTTTCTTTGTGAGAATTGTTATTTTTTTTTTGCCTCAGGTGGCAGCTTGTTGGATTCAAGTGGAAAGATTATTGACTATTATGACGTATCTATGTCATTTCAGTCCCTTTTCGTCTGGTGTTGTGTAATACGCCGACTGAACCTCTGCAGAGGAGTAAGATCCCAATCTCTCCAATGAGGCCATCTGTTTGCCGTGGATGACGACTTGTAAAGGACGGAAACCTGATGGCTGATCTTTCCTTGACCCTTGTATAAATGGCCATGTAACAGGCAAAACTCTTTGGCCCTTTCTGAGAGTACACGGGAGGTTGAAAAGACTCAGTCGGTACGGCACAAATGCTATAAGGTAAACAACATGAGAAAACTATTTGAAAAATATTAAAAACGTCAGTATAATGTCCTAGCTTAAGAAAATTGGTTATATCAAAATATATAACATCTTTAAAATATACGTTTAACTAGAAAGTATAAATCTGCGCAAAATATCTCTAGTTGAAGACGTAAGATTCCATTTAAAATATTTAGAGTTTGGCATTTCATAATATAGAGAGGTTGATAGGCCACTAAACAAAAACAACCAAGCAAAATATATACCAGTTTGGGCACCTCGGCGACTGAGTAGTGAGTTCGATCCTCACTGGGTGTTCCATACCTCCGGCCTTGTGCCACATCTAAGCAGCACTTAGAAAATCACTATATACGAGTTCAACTTCTGCTTCAAGACAGTAATTACATGGTTTGCTTCTTATCTGATGGTGTCATACGCGGTGTCATTTGTGAAGTGGTCTACGTAGGTGATGCCTTGGGGGTCTGCTTTTTGTCTGATTGTGTCATACGCTGTGTCATTTGCGGAGCGGTCTACGTAGGTGATGCCTTGGAGGTCTGCTTTTTGTCTGATTGTGTCATACGCTGTGTCATTTTAGGAACGGTCTACGTAGGTGATGCCTTAGAGGTCTGCTTTTTGTCTGATTGTGTATTACGCTGTGTCATTTGCGGAGCGGTCTACGTAGGTGATGCCTTAGAGGTCTGCTTTTTGTCTGATTGTGTCATACGCTGTGTCATTTTCGGAGCGGTCTACGTAGGTGATGCCTTAGAGGTCTGCTTTTTGTCTGATTGTGTCATACGCTGTGTCATTTGCGGAGCGGTCTACGTAGGTGATGCCTTAGAGGTCTGCTTTTTGTCTGATTGTGTCATACGCTGTGTCATTTTCGGAGCGGTCTACGTAGGTGATGCCTTGGAGATCTGCTTTTTCTCTGATTGTGTCATACGCTGTGTCATTTGCGGAGCGGTCTACGTAGGTGATGCCTTAGAGGTCTGCTTTTTGTCTGATTGTGTCATACGCTGTGACATTTGCGGAGCGGTCTACGTAGGTGATGCCTTAGAGGTCTGCTTTTTGTCTGATTGTGTCATACGCTGTGTCATTTTCGGAGCGGTCTACGTAGGTGATGCCTTGGAGATCTGCTTTTTGTCTGATTGTGTCATACGCTGTGTCATTTGTGAAGTGGTCTACGTAGGTGATACCTTGGAGATCTGCTTTTTGTCTGATTGTGTCATACGCTGTGTCATTTTCGGAACGGTCTACGTTGGTGATGCCTTGGGGGTCTGCTTTTTGTCTGATTGTGTCATACGCTGTGTCATTTTCGGAACGGTCTACGTAGGTGATGCCTTGGGGGTCTGCTTTTTGTCTGATTGTGTCATACGCTGTGTCATTTGCGGAGCGGTCTACGTAGGTGATGCCTTGGAGGTCAGCTTTTTGTCTGATTGTGTCATACGCTGTGTCATTTTCGGAGCGGTCTACGTAGGTGATGCCTTAGAGGTCTGCTTTTTGTCTGATTGTGTATTACGCTGTGTCATTTTCGGAACGGTCTACGTAGGTGATGACTTGGGGGTCTGCTTTTTGTCTGATTGTGTCATACGCTGTGTCATTTGCGGAGCGGTCTACGTAGGTGATGCCTTAGAGGTCTGCTTTTTGTTTGATTGTGTCATACGCTGTGTCATTTTCGGAGCGGTCTATGTAGGTGATGCCTTGGAGTTCTGCTTTTTGTCTGATTGTGTCATACGCTGCGTCATTTGCGAGGTGGTCTACGTAGGTGATACCTTGGAGGTCAGCTCTTTGTCTGATGGTGTCATACGCGGTGTCATTCGCGAAGCGGTCTACGTAGGTGATGCCTTAGAGGTCTGCTTTTTGTTTGATTGTGTCATACGCTGCGTCATTTGCGACGTAGTCTACCTAGGTGATACCTTGGAGGTCAGCTCCTTGTCTGATGGTGTCATACGCTGCGTTATTTGCAAAACGGTCTACGTAGGTGATGCCTTGGGGGTCTGCTTTTTGTCTGATTGTGTCATACGCTGTGTCATTTTCGGAGCGGTCTACGTAGGTGATGCCTTGGAGATCTGCTTTTTCTCTGATTGTGTCATACGCTGTGTCATTTTCGGAGCGGTCTATGTAGGTGATGCCTTGGAGTTCTGCTTTTTGTCTGATTGTGTCATACGCTGCGTCATTTGCGAGGTGGTCTACGTAGGTGATACCTTGGAGGTCAGCTCTTTGTCTGATGGTGTCATACGCGGTGTCATTCGCGAAGCGGTCTACGTAGGTGATGCCTTGGGGGTCTGCTTTTTGTCTGATTGTGTCATACGCTCCGTCATTTGCGGAGCGGTCTACGTAGGTGATGCCTTAGAGGTCTGCTTTTTGTTTGATTGTGTCATACGCTGCGTCATTTGCGACGTAGTCTACCTAGGTGATACCTTGGAGGTCAGCTTTTGTCTGATGGTGTCATACGCTGCGTTATTTGGTGCAAAACGGTCTACGTAGGTGATGCCTTGGGGGTCTGCTTTTTGTCTGATTGTGTCATTTGCGGAGCGGCTGGTGTCATTTTTTGTTTGATTGTGTCAGCGGTCTACGTAGGTGATGCCTTGGAGGTCAGCTCCTTGTCTGATGGTGTCATACGCTGTGTCATTTGCGAAGCGGTCTATGTAGTTGATACTTTGGAGGATTGCTTCTTGTCTGGTGCTGTCATACGCTGCGCTATTTGCGAAGCGGTCTACATAGTTGATACCTCGGGTAGTTCCGTGGCATATCATTTCAATGTTTGAATTCTTAGAATATTATCTGCTTTCATTGTTTCAAAAATTTTCTAATACAGCTATCGTCGTTGGCACCAGCTTGCATCAGAACATCAGAATCGTCATCCTCTCCTCTTATTCTCCTTCTCCCAACTGGTGTGGTGGAGATGTTTGTGGTGTCGTGAACATGAGTCACAGAATAGTGTTGGTGGTGTATGCTGCTGGCCGAGCCCACCCCCCTGACAACACGTCGCGGATCCTGTTCATTTTGACGGTTGGACTCGAAAGTCTTTGTATCCTCCTTCCAGATAGTCCTGCTCTAGGAAGACCGATTTGCAGTAACGATTTCTCGTGGTCTCGGTGTCGATGTCGGCCTGTGTCAGGGAAGTTTTCAACTGATCCGTGAAGCGTTCGTTCGGGCCTCCACGTAGCCGCTTGCAGTTGGCGAATTCTCCGAACAAGATGATATGATGATGTACGATTTCCACCCCACCAACCTTTCTCTATTTCATTCATTTTCTCAATTTCTTGTCTCTATCTCTCTTTCTTTTCTTCTCTTTATATGCCAAACTTACCGTTTTGTAGCAAGAAGAAACGGCCCATTTACAGACACCGGCATCAAGGAAAGGGCAACAATTTAATTTATCTGGGAATTGTTTTAACATAAGTATTGTAATTGTTAGCAGTTAGCTAGTCTTGTTAGATCAAATACAGCGGAGTATGCGTTCGATCCCCACTGGGTGCTTGATACTTATGGCCTTGTTCCATATCTAATCTACGCTTAGTAAATACTTCTCATTGGAATCAGAAAGCGACAGTTGAGATATCTATGGTACGTAATGAGGAAGGAGGGCTTGGAAAATTTGGCACTCACAGGAGATATTGAAAGCAGAGGCAGGTAGGAAAAATATACCTAACAAGCTGATGTAAATGGTTGGAATGGCAGGGACTAGAAGAGATACAAAAAAGACTTACTAAGAGCTGCAAAGGATAGGAAGTTGTGGAGAGTCATGATCATCCATGTTCTGAATGGACACAGCATATAGAAGAAGAAGAAGAAGAAGAAGAAGAGGAAGAAGAAGAAAATATTTGAATTTTTCTTCAGTTTAGATACCATTTTATCTCGCTATGTCTCGGCTCCTTGCTTTTAATTCTCTATTTCTTTCCCGCCTTCCTACGCATCTTTCGTTGATAATGTAAAGACCCGTTTCAATATCACTGTCCGACAGACAATAAAAACTAAAAACCCAAAATAACCTTCACCTGACCTCCAAGATTTGCCCCACGCTTTTCATGAATATGTTAATCTATTCCCAGTAGAATCCTGAACACAAGATCTCTTCGTACTGGGAGTATTCTTGGCCAGCCAACTTGATGTAATGTCCGGCGCAGGCGCAGAAATAACCGAGGAAGATAACAGGATTCCTTTGCACATTGTTTACTTCTGCGACATGCAATGACAGACTTAACGAAGAACAAGCAATAGCCAACCTCCAAGGGAATCCAAGTGCCTCGAACTAATTTTTACCATTCCCTGGACGCGTACAAGATGGAAAACCTTCAGGCAAAATCAAGTATGTGTCTAAGTTTAAAACTTGGTAATCTCATGCTGAAGTTTGCAGCGATCATTCTTAGAATAGAAGACAAACTCAAGAATTAGATAGTATATATATATATATATATATATATATATATATATAAATATATGGACTGGTTTGGTATTCATTTTGGTTTTTGGTTCTTCATAGATGAATAGTGCGTTATAGACAAATAAAGAGGAATTTTTTGCTTTAAATTTTTACCGAAATCTTATGATTTAGAATCAAGATAACGTGGACCCTTGGGCGTAGTTTAATGGTTAGCAAGCTGGTCTCGCTATATGAATTACGACTGAGGAGTAAATTCGATTCTCACTGGGTGCGCCATACATTCGGCCTTGTGCCAGCTTTAAGCTATGCTATGTAAATCACTAGATTCAAGATAAGATCAATCTAGGTATAATGTGCTTTACTCCCCGTGTGTGATTTTGTAGCGTCAGTACAGTCTGGCGCTACATAATCGCAAACGAAAAGCTTTAACAAGTAACAAAGAACACATATCTTGAATATTTTCGACAGAAGCAGCAATAAAAATAAGGATCACATGTAGAAAAAATGATGAAGAGAGGGGGTCAAAAAGTGCAGTGCTGTACTCGCCGGTAGGCCAGCTATCTTTTCTTCTTCTTCGGTCGCTTCAAGGAAATGGATTGCGTGACCCCCCTTTCTCAGCCGTTACACTGGGCAGTTGTGAAACAGACACCCAATCAACCGCGCCTACTTCAACTTCCTCTTTGCCCGTCTGTCAATCCGTACGTCCAGCTCTATTGCACGCAGCCCGCCGAATGACTTCCGTCCCCTCGTACTGCTGGCATCCCGCTTTTTATGCTATTCCAATACAGCCAAAATTTCCATGTGTGCAAATATAGCCTCGTTTTGGACGAGATAGGCGAGCATAAATTGAGTCTTCAATAGCAGCGATATTTCTTTTTGTCCTCACTTTGCAGGCAAGATATGTTCGCGCTCGTTTCGAGTTCTGAGGTAAGTCTGCCTTTCGTCACATCACATGCAAGTAGAAGATAAAATAATGGCATGGGAAAACTTTTCACACTTCCCGAATCTTATAGAGAATATAGTGTCGCTGCCGACACTTGAATTTGAACATAGATCGCCAGTGAGCAAACACAGGCGATCCCATTTTTGAGTTAGGTAGACCATGTGACCATAGGAGAAACGCATAAGTAGGAAGTCGAGTGACGTCTAAATGATCGCCATTCCGAATCAATCCTCCATTACCATTCGGATCTCTGTTTCTAGCCTATCCTCTATTATTATACGGACCGCTATTCTTTATACTTTTTGACTACACAGATTACTAATCGAGCGAGTATTATCGAGCAAGTACTATTAGTGTGAGATTATTCGAAGGCGACTGAGACCAATATTGTTCAACGGCGTTACTCTAGTTGTATCTGCGATTACAAAGTCTCTATTACAACGTGCATTACGAAAGTGACAACGAATATTCATTAACATCACAAAACCAAAACAAACAACTCGGAAGGAAATCCCTATCAATAGTAGAAAGTTTAACTTGAGATTTTTTTTTCCTGGAAAACTTTTGATAAAACGATTTTATAAATTTCAGCTGATATTATCAGATCATTGAAAAAGTTCGTGCCAGATTTTCATTCTTAATATAAAAAGACCTCAACATGACAGCGTCATTTGTTTGGGTGCCGATTTCTAGTGTGCTTTAGTTTCAAACCTTGCATCGTTCAATTGCGATTCAGACTCGGTTTGATGTTTGTCCACAAATGAATGGCTTAAAGGTAGACGATGAAGAGTTGCACTTTCGCTATATTATACTCTATAAATTCTGTAAAGGATTAAGCACTGGAACTGCGATAAAAAAAGAAAGAAAAAAAGCATTTAAAAGGTTTATTTAGATCGGGCTCCAGCCCTCAGATGGTCAAAATGTGTTCTGGCAGATTCCGTCATAGTGATTTTAATATAAACGCTCTGGCTAACCTTCCGACATCGATGAAGACGCTTGACTTGCCGTCATGAAGAATAAACCGAGGATTTCGTCGGAAGTAGTTGCTAAGAGGTTGAAAATTGATATGTCAGCTTCCTTTCACCCTTTGAAGAAACTTAACTTCAAGAAAAACAGCCGTTTTGGCGAATAGAAATGGTGTCTAATTCTGATAATGTTTCAAAACAAACCTTGCAGAAAGTTAAAGAGTTGAATTGGGAAACACGCCAACACCCGGTGCATTCTCCTGACTTGTCTCCATCGGATTTTTCTTTGTTCTGGTCTCTACAAATGAATTTAAACGGCAAAAAAATGATTGTGTACAGTCAGTCGAAAACTACCACGAAACCTTTTTCCTGCCAAAATACGATGTTTTTAGAAAAAGGCATTAACAAGATTGTGGAACGGTCAGAGACATTTGAGTCAGTCGTTCACTTTTGAACCGACTGTTCGGTTAAACTCTCTTCCTACGGGCGGGAGGAACCCGAAGGAGTCTACGCCGAAGGGCAGAGTCTCCTTCGGGGAGGTAAAACCGGCCCTGAACCCGTTTATACGGGTTCAAATGGGCTATTTTTTGGCAGAGCCTAATGGCTCGGGAATGCCCACGTTAAAAAGGCCTTGTGCCACATGACACCCTCGTGGTGGGGGGGGTGACTGAATATCGTCGGAGACATTTGTAGAATGCTGGGTGACATTTGTTGAAAACAATGGAGACTATTTACTTGACTAATAAATTGTTTTTTGTGTGTATATAAAATCTTATTTTTAATTTTCTAGCCGGGCACGAACTTTTGCAATTGCCTAATACTTGAATCCTGTCTGTGCCTATTTTTAAGACACAAGATCATTGACGACATAGTAAATAGGTACAGTTGGTAAATGAAATGAGAATATTTGGTATAATTTATATTCTCTTGTATGCAGCAACTTTTAGAACTAACTTTTCACATAAAAAATTTACAGTCAATTTATACACGAATAAATGTCCCCTGTCGCTGAAACCAAATTATAAAATAGGAAAATATAGCAACAACTCAGACAAGATGAATATTAACCAGATCAAAATGCAATGCGCTGTATCATAATACTACAGCAATTGTCTTAAATATCTGAACGGAGATAGAGAATATTTGCTATATTTCAGGGTAAAGGGCTCCTTACTATCTTCCCTTGGATTATCCATGTTTCCGGCGTTTTATCCTCACCCGTTAATCTCTTCCACTTCCACAGCCACACACCCCCATTGCTAGCTTTTCGAGATTCTATCGCTATTTCAATGTCAAATATCCAAACGAGCTCCATTTGTTAGTTCCACCATTTCAGAATTTTAGACCTCGGACACAAGTAGAACTTTAATTACTTGTAAGACTGTTTTAATAAAACGATTTTATAAATTTCGACCGATATTATTTGATTAATGAATGTTTCTTTTTAATTTGGTTTTGTTTGGTTTACAGCATATCAACCTCAATGGGTTATTTAATGCCGACAAGATTTTGACAATAGATTCGTATTGATAGAATATATATTGTTTGTAAGGAAACAGTGTGTAGATCCGGTTCTGTTGATAGACTTTTGTAAAGAGGTTAGTCGTCGAGAGTGTGGTTTCATTGATGTATTCTTTTTAGATACACGATTTGTAGAGAAAATTGATTTTGACATTATCATTTGGTTTATAATATTTGGTAGCTTTGGTTTGATTTGGTTTACGGGATATCAACGCCTCAATGGGTTATTTAATGCCGACAAGCTTTTGTTTTATTGCTGGTAATATTTTTTTCAAAGATGTATTGCTGTTATTTTTTTTCAAAAATGTATTGTTGATAATATTTTTTTTAAAAATGTATTGCTAGTAATATTTTCTTTCAAAAATCCATTGCTGGTAATAATTAAAAAAAATGCTTGTATTAAAACCTATTTTTACACTTATATAGTGTTTTGACCCCAGTTTGGGGGTTAAATATTTGCCCAGAGCAGGGACCCTAAAAGGTGCTACCACCCCAGCTCAGGCTGGACCTGAGAACACCAGAAATTTAGAGGTGGTTCCACGTTCCTCAAAACCTCCTGATCAGAGGCCTTGTTGTTGGATGTAGTTTATCGTCTTACCCAGGACAGTTTAAGATAATATCCTTTTAAGATAATGGTTAATTTCACCATTTTTTAAAACATTCATCGATCCCCTTTGATATTTGATACACACGAGTGGGTACAGACTAAATTCTTCACTGCTAAGAAATGACTTATCAGATGATAAATACATTATAAATTTTAAGATGCAAACGGAAAATTGGATATTTTTCTTGTTTATTTTATTCGATTGTTTTTAAATAGTTTGAATCTTTTAATATTTTGATTTATTATTTTTTAATCAATTCACCCCAAGTAAGACAATAATACCACTAAGACGCAAGGTGCTATAGGTAGCAAGCGGGAATGAAAAGACTTTAAAAAGAACCAACACCCAATCCTAAACAGGAAAGAAGGGATAGACCACAGCTCCTTTTCAAAAGACCAGAGACGAGTGTGAAACGGACTATTGGTGCTTAGCTACATCTATTGAGATAAGGAAGACGTTGTATATATATATATATATATATATATATATATATATATATATATATATATATATATATATATATATATAGAGAGAGAGAGAGAAGATATATATATATAGAGAGATGATATATATATATATATATATATATATATATATATATATATATATATATATGACTTGCTCTTGATCACCGATTGAGCACTATAGGGAGAAGGGCATTTTTAAAACAGTAGTTGCTCCTGCCTATAACGTAGCGCTCTTCATTTAAGAATTGGCCGCTTTGGCTGGTGATTTTGGTGTTTATATACATCACGTATATAATACGTTAAAAGATTCGCCGATAGTTTAGGGGTAGAATCTCTTACTGATGTCAAATCAGTCGAGTTGAAGCAATCGGATGTCTAGCACAATGATGAGCTGTGATACAACGAAACTGTATTTTTTTGCACACACACACACACACACACATATATATATATCGAGAGAGAGAGAGAGAGAAAGAAATAATTTTCTAATTCATATGCCAGAGGTATAGAGTTGAAGTAGACTTTAGAAGAAAGCGGAAGCCCAATTCTAAATAAGAAAAAATGGAATGGATAAACCTATATTCCTGTTCAAAAGACTACTTTGTGAATACCAGGTGCTTCAAGCTTAGGTGTGCGGGTGGTGTAATGAATAATGATTCGGAAATGTTAATCAAAGAAGTGAGTTTCAATTCCAGTTGGATTCGTTATATTCCCTTACGCGGAATTAACCTTGGTTAATTTATGAATCCACCTCTCCTCCCTCTAGCTATGGGGCATTTGGTAATACTTGTAGCAGTAAATCATTATTATCTCTAATAAATCTTACAATCTAAAAGATATTTTCCGGCTTTAAATAACCTGTAAATAGTTGATAGACTGTAAGAACAAAACAACCAATATTAAATAGCAAGGTATACAGACATCTAAACTTGAATGATTTTTTAAAGAACCAGGATGTAAACGATTATGGCTCTCCACATATTACTAGATGCTAGAGTGACTTTCCCCTTGCTTGCTTTATGTCTTTGAACTCAGAACAGTTTTTCTTCTGGTTAAGTTGCCAAGCAGGAATAGATAGCGCCTAGATTTCCATACTGTTTAACCGGTGGCTGGAGAGGAGAAGAAACGGTTCAATGGCATTTCATACAAAAGTGAATGTAAAAGAATCGGCTGAAATCTGAACTCATAGAAAGAGAAATCTTGATGCAAAACTGAAGAGAGGCCAACAGGAAAGCACATTGCTATGTTTCTTGTGAACTCATAGCTATTCACAGGTAATAAAGAAAAGTGAATCTGTGAAGAGTCAACCTTAAAATGTTATTGTGCCATTTGCTTATGCATTTAGGCTTTTATATGAGCCTCAGTCATCTTTGAGGATAGAGCGTATCGGTAGGATATAGTTCTTTAGATTACACGCGATAGTTTCCCAGTAAGAGAGAGAGAGAGAGATGGAGACACACACACATACAGAAAGATATATATATATATATATATATATATATATATATATATATATAGAGAGAGAGAGAGAGAGAGAGAGATAAGGAGACAGAAAGAGAGAGAGAGAAAGAGAGAGATAGCGAAAGACATAAAGAAAGAGAGAGAGAAAGAGACAGAGTGAAAAAAGGAAGAGATAAAGACAGAGAGAGAAAGAGAGAGAGAGCGAGAGAGACACACAAAGAGAGAGATAGAGAGATAAAGAGGAAGAGACAGAAAGAGAGATAAAGAGGAAGAGACAGAAAGAGAGAGAGAGAGAAAGAGAGAGATAGAGAGAGACATAAAGAAAGAGACAGAGAAAGAGACAGAGTGAAAAAAGGAAGAGATAAAGACAGAGAGAGAGCGAGAGAGACACACACACAGAAAGAGAGAGAGAAAGAGAGAGAGAGAAAGAGAGAGAGAAAGAGAGAAAGAGAAAGAGAAAGAAAGTGAGAGAGACAGAGAGAGAGAAAGAGAGATACATAAAGAAAGAGAGAGAGAAAGAGACAGAGTGAAAAAAGGAAGAGATAAAGACACAGAGAGAGAAAGAGAGAGACACACATATACACAGAAAGAGAGTGAGATAGAGAGATAAAGTGAAAGAGATAGAAAGAGAGAGAGAAAGAGAGAGATAGAGGGAGACATAAAGAAAGAGAGAGAGAAAGAGACAGAGACAGACAGAGTGAAAAAAAGAAGAGATAAAGACAGAGAGAGAGAGAGAGTGAGAGAGTCAGAGAGTGAGAGAATCAGGGAGAGAGACAATGAGAGAGTCGCAGAGAGAAATAGACACACAGAGAAATAGACAGAGAGAGAAAGAGAAGAAGAAGAAGAAGAAGAAGAAGAAGAAGAAGAAGAAGAAGAAGAAGATATATCATTAAAAAAAAGCTTCTTATATAGGGTAGACAATATGTAGTACTGAAACCCAATTCTTTTGTGCGGCTTGAACCGAAACGGTCTGGTAATAATAACTTCCGCTGCGCTTTGCAAAAAAAAGGCATCCGCAGCGGAAGTCAATTTCGAGACGCGAATGTAATCAATGCGCAAGGCTTTCTGTGTTGCAACCATCTATGGAAATGGGAAACCAAATGTCCAGAAGTTTCAGTCATGCGACAGAAAATGTCTAATAAATATCTTGGAGAAAAACATCAAGGTTACATTTAAATATTTGTCACCTAGATTTCCGTGGACCTTCTGACACAAATGTCGCCATAAATATTTCCAAACGTAGAATTAAGTGTCTTTTTGAATGACACTTAGTTAACAGTAAACGTCAATGTTGCACTTTTGATTGCCAAGTTTGTGCTGGATAAAACGTAGCGTAAAGAATTCCCAAAAGATTAACTGAGACCTGAGACTTAGCTAAATACATAAAAACATCCATTATGAAAATGGAAGGAATTTAAATCTTTTTTTTTTTTTCAACATAAGGATAGAGAGTCAAAACCTACGTGTTTTTAGAAGCAGGACAAAACTTCCAAATTCTAAGGAAATCAGCATTGCCATTTATGGAATCCAGAGCGTTTAGCTAAATGAAATTCATGAAGTAAGTATGAGCGAAAAGACGTTTAGCAGTAGAGATGGTGCGTGGATAGAAAAGTTTTATTTATGATGTAATGTGCATGTGAACAACGACGGAGTTCTAGAGACAATGGTAACAAAAAGGACATTTATGCTTAACTCCAGGAAGAGACAGCTGAAATTTTGGGGGCACAGGAGGAAGAAAAGAAGGATTGGAAAATTTTATACTCACAGAACAGAGTGAAGGTAAGAGGGTAAAAGGAAAGCAACTCGCAAGCCACCTGGTGAGGTTGAGCAAATGTATGGCAGAACAGAGTTTTGGAGAGATGGCAAAAAAAGACAAAAGTTGTTAAGAGCTACAAGAGACAGGAAATCGCGGAGAGCCATGATTGCCAATATCCTGAAGGGGCATGGCACATAACAGAAGAAGAAGAAGAAGAGAAGGAGAAGAAGAAAAATAATCTTCCCACTCCAAAGTCAATTAATCTCTACCAGTGTATCTAAAATAAATTAGAATCCATTCAATGTTTATTATTCGAATTCTATTGGTCATCTGAAATTAAAATCATGAGCCCAAAATAATACAGGTTGACCTCCACCTGTTGGAAATTCTCAATTATTTTATCATTTGAATTGTTTTTGTTACTTAGGAAAGGTTACGGAATAGAATAATCAAACGGAAGTTGATAATGAACGATAATACTTAGGACAAGAACAACACATATAAGATTTGCTAGCGGCGAGTAGAAGTAGTCAACTGCTAGAAGAGTAAAGGGAATTCCACAATGGCTCTCCAACTACAGGATATGTACCAACCACACGACATGGTCAGATATGGCACAAGGCTGAATTTAATGTGGAGTATCCGAGCCCGTAGGCTCGGCCGAAAATTCCCCGTAGACCACGTATAAAACGCGGTCGGGTAGCTGTTTCCTTCGACAGAGCCTCGTCTGGGGATCCTCTCAGCTTGGAGGCAGTGAGTTTGACTAGCACAGCTGGAGACCAATCGCCAACTGCAGACCAACATACAGTATTTACTTCTGTGTTTATGTGCATGGATACATACCCATTATCGCCCGTACGTATGATATGGCAATTGTGTAAAACAAGTTTGGAAATGCTGATAGGACAATATGTTCGCAGTCCGTGAGTAGTAATTCTAGTAGATGCTATAATTGTTTCACTTAGATATTAAGTTTAACTCCGTTTGGCACAAGGTGTGATAGTGTTGTGGTGTCCTCCCTTTAATGAGGCTATTGTGGACACTTCCACTTACTATAAAGTAGTAGGAAATGTAAGCCTCGAAGGAACAGTGATAGACTGTTCTTCTGAGGCTGTGACTGTTCGCAGATCCCGTCGAACGCTCTGCCTTGGGCAGAGAGGGACCCGGACGAGGCTGTGCCGAGGGGCGGAGTTTCGTTCGGGGAGATAGACAGACCCGAACCCGTTTATTCGGGTTTTACGGGGATTTTTTGGCCGAGCCTATGGGCTAGGATGAACCACGTTAAACTCGGCCTTCTGTCACATATATCCCTCGTGGGGGAGCTATTAAATATCAACAGTGATATAGACTGAACACTGGTCAACCGACATACACTCCCAAGTCGTGTAACACACTTCTGTTGTATTTACTGTTCAAGAAACTATTTATCTGCAACCTTTTCTTTTGTTATTCCTTAATCAATTACTTGGTCACAGCAGATAGTGAGAGACAAACCAATGAGTGAAGCCTTTACACTTGAGACTTTAGCTGTGAAATCAATCTTCTGAGGATTGTGCCAGATATTTTTGTTTCGATGTCTCATGTGTGCCTTAGATGAGACAGAGACAAGGCTACATTAGTCGGGACACATAATGTCATTGATTACATTAAATTAGAAAACTAACTGACGACCTCGTAAACCATCTCTAAATTAGGGGTGGCCGCAAATGTTTACTCTGAAACCGAACACCTGGTAAAAAACAAACGCGAGCAAATGTGTTGGTAAAACGAACTCGTTAACCATTGTCTAAAGGGAGTCTTTCACAATTCTTTGACTCAGCAATGCGAAAATATACTGTGTCGTGAAAGGAATGCAAAACCGTTCTTTAATTTGTTTTTTACGGCTTATCAACCCTTTGAAGATTATTTAAAACCAGACAATTTTTATAGATTGCAAGAATTTTTTTGGCGGGGGGTAATTATGATTTAATGATAGAAGGCCTCATAGCTAGGGAAGAAGAGGTGGATTTCCAAGGATATTTGTGTGTAAGTGAATATAACGAACCCAACTGGAATTGGAACTCGGCTCTCCGGTTAACGATTCCAAGCCATTATCCAATAACCCTAGTAGCGCATTCAAACTTGGTATTCTCAAGCGGTCACCCATCTCGGTTAAAACGGGTTCGACGTTGCTTAACTTCGGTGATCGTATGGGAACCGGTGCTTCAGCGTGATATGGCCGTAAACTCAACATATAAAAACGATTATAATCTACGCTTTTGCATCAAATGCTAGTGAAGTCTTGAATAGTCAAATCAGTTGGTATTTTTCCGTTTGTACAATATGCTTGCCGGTTTAAATAAACTTTTCATCGATAATATTTGGGTTAACTTTAATAAGATTGGGAGAACATAATCAAGTTGTAAAAAAAGTCATTTGCGAAATAATAAGCGTGCTGTGCCAAGGAAATATCAGACCGGGTGGGGGATATTGGAGGAATTAAATTAATCATGTCGACACTTATATTTGGTATTTAGAGAGTACTGAGCATGGACGAAATAATGATTTTCGTTGAAAATTTCCTGGGGATTGCTGATATAGAGAGAAAGAGAGGGAGAAAGAAAGTGAGAAGGCAGAGAGAGAGAGAGAGAGAGAGAGAGAGAGAAAGAGGGGGATTCAAAGAGAAATAGTCAGAGAGATAGAGAGAGCAAGGGACAGAGTGAGAGTGAGAGAGAGACACACACACACATATAGAAAGGGAGAGAGACAGAGAGTCAGAAAGAAAGAGACAGAGAGAGGAAGAAAGACAGAGAGAAAAAGAGAGAGCGAGAGAGACAGAGACACACAGAGAGAGAAAGAGAGAGACAGAGAGAGAGGAGAGAAAGAAAGCGATAGAGTGAAAAAGATAGAGAGACAGAGAGAGAGAGAGAGAGAGAAAGAGAGGGAGGGTATGTGTGTAGTTCCAAAGTATTTAAATGTTTGGCAGTTATATGTATGACTGATTGTAATGGCAGCCATTTTCGGACAACGTCTTAATCGAACTTCTCGATATATAACTCCAGGCCACTGAGATTCCTTTCAAGCTGATCTGGATATAAAACGTCATTTAATTCAGAAAGCTAAAGGCAAAATAAACGGTAAGGTTTAACGTATACACTTTCCTTCCTCACTTCGATTGGATTTCTTAATATTATGCAATCCGTCTACTTCCCCGCTTTTTATACCTTCCTCACTTACGTTAGAACTTGGTAGATATTTACTTATCTTAGATAAGACGGACAAAGGTTCACAGTAGTGGGTCACGTAGTGAGGAATGAACACCTGAAGCATGTAATGACTTATAAGACTACTTCCATTCACCTTAGGGGTTACACTGAGTTGGACTTTCACAATGACTCGTGGCTCACGTACGATCATCGGAGTTAAGCAATTCCGAAGCTGGTCAGTACGTGACCGCTTGGGAATACCAGGTGTTGTTATGCTGGGACATGCAAGTGGTATAATGATTAATGGCTAGGAATTTTTAAACACAGAGCCGAGTTCCAATTTCAGTTGGGCTTACCGAATTATCAACTTTTCCAGGTTATTTAAATCCAGCAAATATTTTGAGATTGTATGTTTTTTTCGGAAATAATTATTTACCGATACAAGTACTACTAATTAATCCATAAATTGGGGGTGGGGATAAGAGGTGAACTCATACCTGTCCCAAGGGTATATGCGCGTAAGGGAATATAACGACCCTTATGCGAATATAACCTTGGGAAATGTATGAGTTCACCTCTTCTCCCCATTCCCAATTTGTGGGTTAGTTAGTAATACTCGTATCGGTAAATAATTATTATTTCCAAAAAATTCTTACAATATCAAAAAATTTGCTGGATTTAAATAACCTAGAAAAAAGTTGATAAGCTGTAAAATATCAAATAAATTATTCAGTCACTGAATTGGGTGCTTAGACGGACTCGCAAATAAGGTACGCATGTTCAAAAAAAAAAAAAAACAAACACAAAAACAAAATTACTAAGCTTATGTTCGATGCAGATCAAAGTCGAAAGCATAAAGCACACAATGAAGATTGACTCATTCAGTCAATCATTTATGTGCCGTGTGTGATACACGCTTAGATCATCATGTATCTTGCAATACATGAGTGACGAGGCAGATTTTTCCCGCAGTAGATTGCCATTACTTTCTGCAGTAGACCAGTTGCCATCCAAGGCTATAGAACCCGGTTTGTTCTGTTATTTTCCCATAGCTGGAGGTGGGGAGAGAATAAGAGGATTCATACCTTTCCATGGGTATTAGCATATAATTGAATGTAATGGATTCGACTGGAAATCGAATTCGGCACTCCGATTCCTCAATCCGAGCCGCTATCCATTCTTCCATCGTGCCTCCACATCAAACTTACAGCCCTTTCTCTTCCTTATCCCCCCCCCTATCCTAATTGTTTTGAATTCAGAGTTGTCTTTCTCCTAGACCAGTTGCCATCCAATGCTATAGAACTCAGGCTGTTCTGCTATTTACCCATAGCTGGAGGGAGAAGAAGAGGATTCATACCTTTCCCAAGTGTATTAACACGTAAGAGAATGCAATGGATTCGACTGGAATTTGAACTCGGCACTCCAATTCCTCAATCCGAGCCGCTATCCATTCTTCCACAGTACCTCTACATCAAACTTACAGCCCCTGATTTCTCATCATCTCTTTCTTATTCCCTCCCTATCTTAATCGTTTTTCAAAATTACTCATTTTGAGACCATTAAGGAATTATGACCTGCTGCTTTGACATTGTTAAATTCTAAGAAGACCCTGTCCTTCCCAGATTGTATAAATGGCGCGTTTCATCGCTTGCAGATGTTATTTGAGCTCATATGAAGAAATGAAACTTATACTTAACAATCCTTATCATCAGGATCAGGTTTTGAATTCAGACTTGTCCTTCTAGACCAGTTTCTATCCAAGGCTAACCCGGTCTATCTTACTATTTACCATAGCTGGGAGGAGAAGAAGAGGATTGATACCTTTCCCAAGGGTATTATCATGTAAGTGAATGTAATGGATCCGACTGGAATTCGAACTCGGCTCTAACGATTCCTCAATCCGATCCGCTATACATTACTCCACCTTAAGGATTTAGTGAGATAATCTTTTTAACCATTAGACCACGTCAAAGAACTCCACGGATAAAGAATTTATTTCAATGTCCAAAATTTCTGAAACCTTTTTTTAAATCATTTTACACTAAGCAAACCGGAAATGCCTCTAATGCGTAGGGTGGCGTCACAGAGACTGAAAGTGAAAGTGAAAGTGACTGGGTATAGGAAGGATTGAGGAAAGGAAAAAGATGAATGCGATTCAAGAAGACAGAAGTTGGCGATTGACGTTGCATTTAAATTTTTGAAGATTGTAGTTATTACGGAAGAATGTAAACAGAAGGAGGTTCTACAGGTAGAAAGTGCGAGAAAAGAAACTGCTGGGGTAGAAGTGGCGGTTGCATTTAACTATTTCAACCATAAACGGGTGGGACCTAGATGCCAATCTAGTGGCACGTTTAAATTCATGTATTTGGTGCCCCAGAGGAAAAAGCACGTCAGAGCAGTTTCAATGAAAAAATTTGTAGAAAAGACAGAGGCAAGTGAGGAAGTGACTGAAGTCGAGATGCAAAATCAGAATCGATTACATTCCAGATCCTTCGAGATGAATAACAAGAGCACTAGACCCCAGATATGGCAGCAGCATTCAATGCACGGGCGGATGTTAGATTTTTAAATGTGCAAGATGGATTCTGACGAGGAAAGTTTTCTGGAACGACACAGTGACCCATCTTTTTTTGCTGTAGATGCAGCAGCTGCTGATTTATCTATTAAATCGTCTGTGTTATTGCAATCATCATAGCTGAATGTCGGTTTTCTTTCCATAAAACTGACAAACTTCTCAAAAGCTTTTTCAATTTCAGTCTAGGTTTAATCACAATCATGTTTTCTTTTTATTTCCTTGTTCATTGTGGCAGTATGAACGCTGGAGAATACTTTCTTTGAAAGATTTTATATCAGAAAGTGCTGACTTTTCTGTTGAACTCAGCCATTAGTTATAATGAACTTTCACAGCGTTTAGTCTGTTTAAAATTTCCACTTTTTGAGATAACTCCAAAGTTGTTCTTTTCCTCTGGTTCCATTATCTTTTTGAGATAACTCCAAAGTTGTTCTTTTCCTCTGGTTCCATTATCTTTTTGAGATAACTCCAAAGTTGTTCTTTTCCTCTGGTTCCATTATCTTTTTGAGATAACTCCAAAGTTGTTCTTTTCCTCTGGTTCCATTATCTTTTTGAGATAACTCCAAAGTTGTTCTTTTCCTCTGGTTCCATTATCTTTTTGAGATAACTCCAAAGTTGTTCTTTTCCTCTGGTTCCATTATCTTTTTGAGATAACTCCAAAGTTGTTCTTTTCCTCTGGTTCCATTATCTTTTGCACCAATACAAGCCATTAGGGTGAAATAAGCATAAACACTTATCCAGAGTGAATTTCCTGAAAAACAGAAATTTCAAATCAGTTACATAGCACTCAAATAGTTTAAATATACACATCAAAATCATGTCCGGATATGCAAGACTCCGGATATTAAGGACTCCGGATATTAGGGACTCCGGATATGAGCGATTCTACTGTATTTATAAACGTATTCTTTTTCAATCGTTAAAAGATGTCCAATACTGATTTAACTTTTTTAAAATGTACAATTAATCGACATCCAGAATAAAATTTCAGAATTTTTGTAGTCATTGTTGTTAATGGCAAGTTGAAATTTTATATGTACAATTTATTTCATTTTTTTAAATACCATGTTCTATCAGGGCGTTGGTGATATGGTTCTACAAAATGTCCTTTAATATATGCAAATTGTATTGGCCTCTTCAGAGCGATAGTAGAGTTGTGCCTCTTCTCGCAGACTGACACACAGCCCAGACTACGCTACTATTTTTCATAAACAGACCAGTATTTGAACTCGGAACGTCGAATCAAAGTTTTTCGCTTATAACAATACCTACAGATTCGATTATCAATAAATAAATTTATTTTTTATTTGTCTGTGATTACTTATATCGAAGGCTTTGACATTAGTGTTTAATATTCTTTTACTGTTTTTAAAATTATTTCTGTTTGACTTTGCGATTATTTTTTTTTGTAAATATTCGTTAATTTTATTATAGATTGTATCCAACTTTAAGAGACATTTCATGATTATTCAATGAACTATTTTTAGATGATTGATCTATTCCTGATTGCTTTTGTTCTTCGACTTGAATCGGTTATAAATACCAAAGGACATCTCTTTGTTGTAGATGCTCTATGAGACGAGGAGATTTTTTTAATATAAATATTTAGTGGATATTTTAAAACTATGCAGCCCTTCGCTATAGATTTTCTGAGACTTTAAGAGATGTTTTAATAACTATTCAATGAATTTTAGAAGCGTAGTATACAAAGGCATCGGTACTTCATTTAAAAAAGATGATTTATTGAATAGAACAGAGAGATGTCAGTTAACCCTTTTAGTGTGTTTTTTCTTAGTGTCAATTAAGGCCTTTCATGTCAGATGGAAACTTGAAAAGGAACTTGCCGAAATTGACTACTGTCTTCAGAGTACATTTACAACCACCGTCGGTTCTTTTCAAGAAAAGGACGAAGAATCCGAGAGACAGTTATTGGAACGTAACAACATTTAAATATTTAGAGAGAGGTAATATGTGTGATTTTTTTTATATTTTTACCTCAATGACGTCATATAAGACGCATGGGTATATATGACGCACCCCAATTTCAGCAGGACAAATCAAGAAAAAATTAGTAATTAGAGAAATTAGTCAAATTATTACTAAATTTTACAGCCTAGGTTGTATTTATGAGGTATTATTTTGGTTAAACAAGCCATGATTACAAGTAAACGAAAAATAATAAGAAAAGAACACGTGCCTATATTCATTATAGCCAAAGGTAAGAAAACAAAATAAAAATC